CTTTATATCTACTTGCTGTCTAAGCACTGAAACAACACGCGAGAATCTGATCGGTGGTCGACTTTACGTTGTGAAGGCTAGTCGGAGAATGCTTCTAAATGAATCATCCCATGCTCTAAGAGGTTGTTATCCAACGTTATCAACTTGTTTGTTATGCCACATTACAACAACATTAGTGGAGGATAAGATGTGGCCACTATATAAACGATTTAGTGTTCTCTACACTTGCGCGGCCGTTTTTTGCCTCGTAGTGCTTTTCTCTTTTTACGGTGGGTTCCACCTTTCGTTTGCCGTCCTTCTTTTGATGAACAGTGTCCTCGTTTCATCCACACAGTGTAAACACCACATATGGTTTTTAAGCACATTGTTCATAATGTAAGTACCGCGATCAATGAATCAACATTTTCTGGGCGATGGTTTTGACCATGCCACCCAGCATTTTGGAAGCATGAAGTCGGTTAATTTCGATTTTACAAGTGGCGCAGTGACGGGCATTTCTTTTTGAAACTCTTACGTTGGTTCAAGCCGTCGATCTTCATTTGCAGTCATGACAAGTATTTTCATGTCAACATTTTTAGATGCTACCGATTCGAAGCCTCCTTCTTTTTTACTTCATTTGTTGCGGAATCGCGCTACAAATAACCTACAAAGCAAGAGTATGTCAAATTAATACTAATTCTATTATAACGTATATAACAACGGCGCGTGTGGCGCAGTGGTTGGAGGCGTCACTCCGACACACGCGTGGAATCGATCCCAGCGGCCATGGCTCACCAAGCCTTCCATCCCTCCGGTGCAAACTGGTACCAGATCTGTCTGAGAGGATAGCAGCACTGGCTCGATACATTGGTAGGCCACCGCGAGTTATTGTAAAGGCTAGATATGCAGTCAATCACCTCCAACGTTTAATGAAGTCGAATGCATGGCGCATTCCTCAAGGATTGATCAACTCCGAGAGCTTTATCCTTTTTTATCCCATAGAACATAATTCAGTTTTTTTCCCCATGATTTTTTAGAATTTTTAAGGTTGGCGAACGAGTTATTCTTGATCACGGACCAAGTGTCCGCACTTGGAAACGTATTCGTTCTGAAGAAACAGACGAATTGATTAAGCGCTGCTCAGGCAATGAAAAGGGAGCAATTTGCCACGGATTTGTTGATGAGGTGAAGGAGTCTTCATTCAATAAACCTCCCTTTCGCTTTTCTATAGTGGAAGCTGAATTCACCTATTTGTTGCATAAAGCTTTGGCGGGAGCTATACTATCCAAACGCTATGGAGCTTATTTGGTTCGGTCAAACCACCTTCCATGAGCAATGGAACATAGATTCTACAGTTAGTGATTTCGCTTTGTGAGTTCTCTAGCAGTATTGCTTTCCAGGCCGGTTCACCAGCTAACCCACCGACCGCTGCTTATGTTCATCGCTATGGCTACTTAGTCATTAATCCATTTGTGGCGACGGACGCCGGTACATACTTTTCGCCAGAACAAGTACCAAAGGTGGGTTGATTAATTTCTTAATATGTCTCATGGTCGCACTTCAGTTTGGAAATGGAGGACTATGGCAGAGTATTGTAGAGTATAACGCATTCTTAATTGAAAGGTGCTCTTCCTTTCCTTCGCATTCTTCTTCATTTTAAAGTTCTGCAGAAATTGTTTTCTTTGTAATAGGATTCCTGGACAGCAAGATCGTTTGTCCGCCTTTCCTTGACTTACCCAATTTGCATTCGCTCAGTATAGAGGCATTCTATTAAGAAATATTAGACCTCTTGAACTGCTGATAAATGTAAATCATTCTTTATTACTATGCTCCAGAATTTGTTTTCCTGGAAAAGAAACGTTGAACTAACTGGTTAATCATATCGAAAATGGTACAATGTTGTCGTAGAACAACTTAACACAGCATGAATTCAACATGTCTTCAAGTTTCTAGAAAATTTTCAGCACGTAATTTTCGGGAAGACCATTCTAGTACACAGATCTGTACATATGGGACCATTTATTTTAGGCGGTACGGATCAGGAAATTCAGAAGACCTCACCGGTTCTACTACTCTCTCGAAGCAAAGAAATAAAGTTTATTTAGTTAAAGCTATTTCCTGAATAAATTTGATTTCTGATCCTCAAACTGTTTATAAGAACTGTACCTTTTCCTCGAATACTGACAAAAGAATTCTTAATTCAAAGACTTTAATTCGTTTTTGGCAGCCTGCCAAATGGCGCAGTCGTTAGAGGCGCTTTCCAATACACATCGGATCTATCCCGGTGACCAAGACCCGCCAAGCCTTTCATCCCTTCGTGGTCTTCAAATTAAAACCAGACCTTTCTAGGAGGATAGCAGCACGATACATTACTAGGCCACCGAGAGTCATTGTATAGGCCAGATATGCATTAAATCACTTAAAACGATCTTGAATGAAGTCGAATGCATGGCTCATCCCTCAGAGATTGACCAACACACATAGCTTTTTCTTTACTCTTTTTTTTCGTTCTACGTGATTCGTTTTCATACCTAATGTGAGAATCTCAACATTTTTGCATTCTGTTCGTTTTCTTGTATTCCCGTTCTGTGAACGTCTTCGAACTTTTGAGTGTGGATTCAGCTGCTGCGCGAGGATTTTCTTCTTCATCAATAATATCGTTGAATATAACTTCTGTGATGCTGAGATATTTGCAAAACACCGGACTGTAGGTGTCTGCGGAGGGCAACGAACGCGCTGTTGTCCTTCCCGGAAAGTAGGGGAGTTTTGCAAATATCTCAATATCATTAAAGTAATATTTCGTAATATGCCTTCCCATTAAAAAGAGTAGGAAACAAATAATAAGCTAAAATTGTGATTATAACTACAGCCTCAGATTAACTGGGTTCGTTGCCGATTTGGGCTCTTCAGATCAATCCCGCAGACGGGTGATTGATTATGGCAGAGATCGATGGAACTAGCTGAGGGACAGGCGAAATAAAGGAGCCCCATGGTGTGGTGGTGAACACGTTACTCCCCGGAAAGGACAATAGTGCGTTCGTTCCACACCGCAGACACCTGCGGTCCGGTGATTAGCAAGTATCTCAGCATCGTTGAATTTATATTTCGCAATATACCTTGCCATTAAAAACAGTACGCAATAAATAATAAGTTAGAATAACGTTAGATGTTAGTCCGGCCGATTCTGCCTGGAGTCCTGAACATAGTGGGGCTAAAGCATTTGCATGAGAATTGTATCGAAAGGCATTCACTCACAACTCTTGTAGCAATCTGCCAACCTCGCAGCGAACCGCTTCTGGTGAGTTTTGAACAAAGTCGGCACCACCCCAATGCTCAAGATGATCAGGATCACTACAACTACGCTATCCGCATCTTACACATGGTAGCGCGTTCTTTATCGATTATGTCAAGGGTGAGATGTTCTACAGCTACATAAATAAGTAATTTCTAATATCTCTCTCACACCCTATCATTCTTCCTACTAAGTAAATCGAACGCTAATGAAGTTTCCAATCCTCCGTTTTGAGCAACAACACTCAATAATGGAAAATCCCTATTAGCCATCCACTTTTCCGCAATCAGCTTTTCCGAATGACGACGTAGATGACGAGATTTAGTTCCTTGAACATAGATAAGCTAGAGGGTTCATTGTACTGTAAGTAAACAAAGAGGAAACACTCGGGTCTGTGAAAAAGAGATAGTAGTAGGTGGTTTTGCCTTAACTGAGAGCACTTTATGAATGTTTCGAAAACTTTGAATAAACATGGAAAGCGACTGAGAGAAAGTGCTATGCAGATAAGGGAGAGCAGTTTAGGGCTTATTTGAAGTTTCTTAACGAAAACTTTCATCAACAGATGGGAAAGAATCTTGCAGCTATCTCGCACGAAACACTTAGAGGACCACATTTTGCATACGCATATTGTTTGAAGTAATTATATAAGCTTGATTTAGCATTAATCCTTTAGTAATTCTTGATTGACCGCAGTCTCATCGCTAGCAGTCGTTGATAGTGACTTTTCCGCAACTAATCAACTTTATGGAGCTTCGTCATCAACAGAAGCACTCGCCGTCGTCTTTCTGCGTTCTTTCCTGAAGTCGTAGTTGTAAGGGTGAGAAACATAATGACCAGTGGTGCTACCAGTCACTGAGTTTACTCTCTTGCCCTGTTCACCTTGTGTCTTGCTATCGAGCTCATAAAGAACACAATGTCACGTCAATAAGCGCAATTTTTTCACAGGAACATTTACCGAAAAAGTCCGACTCGAGCCAGACTAACCGTAACTCATTCACACGAAACTTCTTTTCTCCTCATCTTAATTGCCGGCGAATGTTATCCTAAAACGCAACATCTATTTTCACTATTTGCTAAGGCGATTTCTCCTGGACGAAGACTCTAAAGAACGGCATAACAGTAGCGGAGGAATGCTTACTTGTTGTTTATTTACTCGTATTCGACGTTTCAGTGGCTTTATGCTAGTTATTTTTACGTAAGATGTTAATCTATTTTTGCCATTTACTTTATTAAAATGATTTCAAAGGTCTCTGATAATGTAAAGTTACGTATTTCTTCAATAATACAACAATTTTCTCGAAAAATGGTGGCACAGTAGTGAAGGATTAAGGATAAAGGAAAAAGCTCTCGATGTTGGTCGTTCCCTGAGGGATGCGTCATGCATTCGACTTCATTAAGCATCGTTGTAGGTGAATGAATGCATATCTGGTCTCTGCAATGACTCGCTGTGGCCTACCGATGTATCCAGCAAGTGCTGCAATTCTCCCAGACAAGTCTAGCACCAATTTGAAGACAACAAAGGGATGGAAGGCTTGGTGAGCCTAGGTCGCCACGATCGATCCCATGTGCATTACAGGGCGCCTCTGACGACCCACACTTGTAAAGTGAAAAACGAGTTGAAACATGCTTATTCTTTTGTCATTAGTGCGAGAAAGTGGTACAGTTCTTAGAAATAACTCGAGGTTCAGAAATACAATTTATTCAGGAAACGCCTTCAATTGGATAAAGTTTATTTCTTCACTTCGAGAGAGAAGAACGTCCGTGAAGGAGCTTTGTATCGGATGTTCCGTGCCATCTAAAATAAATGGTCACAAACTAATATGCACAAACTTGTGTACTGGAATGATCTTTCTGTAGATTACATGCTGGAGATTTCCCAGGAACCATCCAACATTTCGAATTCATGCTGTCTTAAGTTGTTTTACGACAAAATTTTACGCTTTTCAATATGATTTACCAATTAGCTAAACATTTCTTTTCCAGGAAGAGAGGTTCAGATCATAGCGATGAAAAAGCGTTTGCATTCATCAGCAGCTCAAGAGGTCTAATATTTCTTAATTCAATGCTGCTGAATGAAAGAAAGGAATGAAGGAAAGGAAGAGCACCTTTCATGAATGAATGAAGGAATCGAAGACAACTTTTAGTTAAGAATGCGTTTTACTCTACGATATTCTGTCATAGTCCTCCATTTCCAAACTGAAGTGCGACCATGAGACACATTAAGAAATCAATCAACCCACCCATGGTATTTGTTTCGGCGACCAGTACAGACCGGCGTCCGTCGCCACAAATGGCTCAATGATTAGGTAGCCATCTGGGTCAACATAAGCACTGGTCGCTGGGCTAGCTGGTAAACCGTCCTGGAAAGCAGTACTGCTGGAGAATTCACATAGCGATATCGCTCACTGTAGACGCTATGTTCCATTACTCATGCAAGGTGGATTGAGCGAACCAAATAAAGTGCATAGTTATTATAATGCTGAGATATTTGCAAAACTCCAGACCGCAGGTGCATGTGATCCGGAGTTTTGCAAATGTCTCAGCATTATAATAGTTATATTTCGCAAAAATACCCTACCGTTACAAAGAATAGGCAGTAAATAAAAAGGAAAGAAAGTTTATAGTGTTTGGATATTATGGCTTCCGCCAAAGTTTTATGCGACAAATAGGTGGATTCAAGTTTCCTTATAGAAAAGCGAAAGGGTGATTCATTGACCGAAGACTCCTTCACCTCATCAACAAATCCGTGGCAAATCGCCCCCTTTTCGTTGCCTGGGCAGCGCTTAATGAATTCATCCATTTCTTCAGAACGAATACGTTTCCAAGTGCGGACACTTGGTCCGTGATCAAGAATAACCCGTTCGCCAACCTTCAAAATCCTTGAAAATTATGCGAAAAAGACTAAATTAAGCTGCATCGGAAGTAGTATTGATTTGACATACCCTTGCTTCGTAGATTATTTTTAGTGCAAGCCCGTAATAAATGAAGTAAAAAAGAAGGAGGCTTCGAATCGGTAGCATCTAAAAATGTTGACATGAAAATACTTGTCATGACTGCAAA